CTGAAACATCAGCTTTCCTGCTCCTCTGATGCTGCTTGTCCTGCTGTGTTCATCCAGCTCTACACCTTGTTATCTCAAAACAAACATTTTTGATAGGTTTCCATAACTTTATTGACCTCCCTGTGGAATGGTGGAATTCCTTGATGTTAATCATACATTAATTGTATCGTGAAGGTTAAGGATAAACAGCAAGATGGTGTTTTTTGATTAAATATTTTGAATACATATGTGGGATTGCTGGGACACTGTTCTTGGTGTAGGAGGTAGAGAAATTGTAAAGATGCGTTCTGGAAATAAATCTATAATGAAGAAAGGATTTGTGTCTGGATTCATACTTCACCATCTGCCTTGGCATCCATTTAACATGTAATAGTCTGCTGTTATGTCCAAGAAAGTCTAGTTTTCTACATTGCTGGTTTGCATATTGGTGTTCATGGTCATGTCCCAAGCTGGTGGTAAGGACACTATTAAAGGAACGCTGTTGCTGCCAAACAGTTGGCATTTTATTGGGAAAGTTGGATAGATCACAATTGGATTCTAACACCTACCTGGAAAGTAATCAATACCACAAGCAGTGGAGGATCGGGCTCTCAAATTATTCAAGAAGCTAACAGGACATGCTCTCCTGAGCGAAGTTGGCAGACTAATTTTCTTTTAAAAATTGTAGTCCAAAATTAAACTACAGTTAATTTTATTTCACATAAAATGAAATCTCTTTAGAAAGATGAGTTATTTATTTCTCATTTTTTCATCACAATGAAACTCACAGGGCAGGAAGTTCAGCCTAAAGCAATGCATGCAATAAAACATTGCAAGTTAGACCTACCTGCTCCTGCTCAGAAGTCCTCGCTGTCCATCTGAAAGCTAATCCTGGCAGACAGGAAACAACCAAATGAAAACTGTCAAGTAGAAAAGATGCACTTTGTGGAGTTTTCTGAAATACCACACTCCCATTCTCCACCTGTATAACCTGCCCCTGTCATTAACTTGACCTTATTTTCAACCTTTCCTTTAAGTTATAAAAGGTGGGTAACATAATAAGATATTGAGAGATAGATAGAAGAAATAGATTTGACTTAATGTGAATGTAGATTAAAAATCATAATCCAGTTATTATCTTCAAATGCACGAATGCACCCTTATATTACATACTAGAGGATTCAAGTTATATTTTGGTCTATTTTACTGACATCATGAATATTTTTATACGTATAATGTTAATTTTTTATGAGGATTGGATTGGGGTGAATATGTCACCGAATGCTATTGCCAATCCTGACTAGAATTAATTCATTTATCTAGGTTTACAACTCTAACAGTCAAGCTACATATTTTTCAAATTTTAGTCATCCTCCCTTATTAAAATTTCTTTATTTCTTATTCTTGTCCATTTAAGGTGATAACGTTCTCTCATTACGGTCTATTGTTGTCCTGCCCCTAAAGGACAGCAGTTGTTCAACCTCACCACCAGATAAAAATACCATACGGATGTAAGGCTCTATTCACCTTATAACTGGGTCGTTTTGAGGTCCTCATTGACCCCCTTGTAGCCAACTGGATGCTGTCCATGGATGGTCTAATCGTGTACCAGTTTGCAAAGAATGTGGAAGGAATGCATCAATCCAGCCAACTGCTTGCTATCAATAGGTTATAAGTGTTACAGTTGCAGGGATTATGTTGAAAGAACCCTGTAACCTACCACGTATAATGCATTTGTGTTTCTGAAACTACTGCCATACGGAAATGAACTTACATTAAAATGCTTTCTATATTAAAACTGTTAAGTAGTGTAACTGTTAGTACATGAACAATAGCTTTGTGTTTCAGAAAGAGTACCTTACAGCGCAACAGTTGAGGTACAGGTCATTACAACAAAAATGAAAACGCTCACTTTGTTTCTTTTTAATATTATTTATTCTTCATACAAAGAGAATGGAGGCAGGTGTATGGTTTGATGTGAACTGACCCTGTAACTGCATTAATATGGAGAGGATTGAGTTTCAGTGATTAGGGGAACATGCACACTGTATCACTGCAGTAACCACTGAAGCATTTTGTAAAACCAGTTTCTCGTTTAATTTTAAGAGTAACATGATAAAGAAGTAAGATTTGCATTAATAAATCATATTTTACAATGTCAAGACTTGCAGTTTCAATGCAGCAATGAAGTAAATTTCATTTTAGTCACTGTTAGAGAAATGCAATTACAAAATTGCGCACAGCAAACTCCCACAAACAATAATGAGGTGAACTACTCTTTCCCCAATATTTCCTGTTTAACCTCAGTCAGGTACTCAAATCTCTGGAGTGTGCCAATAAACTCATAACCTTCTGTTGGAAAGGTAAAAGTATTTACCATTGACTCAAGGTTAGCCCCATGAGGGGGTCAGACTGTGCAACCTGAAGGGGGACACCTGATAAAAACAAAATACTGCAGATGCTGGAAATCTGAAATAAATGTAGAACGTGCTGGAGAAACTTCAGCAGGTCTGGCAACATCTGCAAGAGAGAAACGCAATTAACTTTTCAAGTCCAGTATGACTCTTCTGCAGAACCAAGAATTTCAGGATACCTGAGTCTGAATGTAAATGTAATTTCAAACTTTTAAAATCAGATTAAACTCAACTCTTCTTTTCTCTCCTTGTCTATTCTTGTGCTTATTCTCTGTAACTCCACCTTCCTGTAATAAGTGGTTAAGGAATACGTATAGTGACCCATGAAAGGTGTATATCATTGGAATGAGTAGATTGTATAATCTTCAGTGCATGAGGTGTTGAGGTGATTTAAATTAGCTGGTACAGATGTATAGACAGGAACCCGTAAGAAGACTTTTTTCTATTGAATCAGATTTTGCTGTGATCTACGTTGCTGGACTAACTGCCAGGATTTTTTATTTATTTAATCAGCATGGAATCTGAATTTGATAACAAAACAGGAATTAAAACTGGAGAGTCATGATGATCTCCCTTACGCTACCATTTTGTTTTGCTTTCCATGTGTATTACTTTATACTATCTCTGGTTATTATAACATGTTTCTACTGCAGTTAACAATTTCTGCAGTGGTAACTAGTAAATACTTGTCTGGTAATTATAATACATCCTTCTGATCTGTGGTTAAAGATAATGTTTTAGACCTGTGTTAAGCTATTCTGTACTATTATTTTGGTATTATTTGAGATATTTTATAATGATGAGCATTTTGATTCTAAGATAGTTTCACATCTTCGATCTGCTCAAAATATAAGATTGAGTTATTGATGTGACGTTCAGCCCTTTGTGTTCTACAGGACTGTACTGTTTTAGTATCTCAGACCCGTACAAAGGGTGAAGAATACTGTAACCTCTCCTACTTTATCTAGAACATCATTGTTTTAGAGTCCCTTCCTGAGCTTTATCTTGACCTATGGTGTTACAGTGTCTCAAATTCCCTGACTAAGCTGTATGTCCATCTCAGAAGAGTTGCCGTCTGAGAGAAAGATGAGCTGTAGTGTTGATGGGGGAGCTACAATAAGTCATCTGAGGTGATCGCTGCTTCCATATTAATGAGACTTGCCAGCTGTACAGCTCATATTTCTGCCAATGTATAGGTTTTCTAAAGGTGGCAATTACTCCCTGTTGACATTTAGTTCAGATTTATTCATATTTTTTCTTCCCACAAAGCAGCAATTCATCTCAAACCTCCAGGGCACAGCCCTCTGCAGCTTAAACCTATCCTGATGCTGTGCTGTGTTTTGAATTTGTCCTTGGAACATAGTGGCCAAGCAGAAAATCTGCCTTCCCTCTTCCCACTTGCACAATCCAGCCAGTTGTCATGTACCATAACTGTAGAAGGGTCTTGGTGCTATAACTGTTGCCATCCTGAGTTAGTGACAGGCTCCTCCCCCACTGTAAGCTATTTATCCTCCCTGGTCTCCATTCTCTGCAGCTGTTTCCACAAGTAAGTAACATACGGAATTTAAACAAAAATAAATATAGACTTGCTCTAAAATGAGGTCCTTTGATGAGGTTTGTTTTTTCTCTGCAGTGTGATCTGTAAAACTAGAGATTGGGGTTATTTGAGCATATTGCTGTAACTGGTCATACTGTGGTTTGAATTCTGAGGTTATGGTAGTGGAGTTCTTTGAATCCCAGGACTAAATTGCGACACTGTCAACAGCTATCCAGATGGGATGTTGCTTACCGGAGCAGAACAGCAAATAAATGTAAGCGAAAACTTGTGAGTATAACGGGAACGTGTTGAAAATCTGATTCAGCTAGTTGTGTTTGATGCTGCAGTGCAAGCTTATGTGCTTACTTTGGCAGATGAATTTACAACTGTTTTATTAGGCACTGTTGTGCATCTTCTTTGTCACTGATTTCTCCTTGTCAGGTGCCCATTGGCAGCTGAGATGACAAGAAGGTGACTTTGTCCTAAACCTAGGTCACTCCATAACTGCCTACTGAAAATGAATAAGTTGATTTAGGGCAATTCTTGCTAGAAATTTTCCCTATCACTTTCTGTTAAAAAAGTGTGTGCCCTTTATGTCCAAGCTTCTCATAGACTCATTGACATTTAAAGCAAGAGGGAGGCTATTCATCTCAATGTGTTCATACAGATCAATCAAAATTCGACTACTCTAATCCCATTTTCCAGCTCTTGGTTCATATCCTTGGAGACTATGGCGCTACAAGTGAATATCCAAATGCTGCCTCAATGTTGCAGAAGTTTCTGACCCAATCACCCTTTCAGGCAGTGAGTTCCAGACTCTCACCATCCTCTGGGTGAAATAAAATTCTCCTCAACTTTCCTCTTAACCTTCTGTCTCTGATAGTTCTACTATTTGAAAAAAGTGCCTTCTTTTCCATCATACCAGTGCCCCACACTTCTATCAGGTCCCCTCTCAACCCCCCTGCTGCTTCAGGGAAAACAACCCCAGCCTATCCAAACTTCTCTCGAAGCTCAGACCCTCCAGCCCAGGCATCACCTCTTCATCCTCTCTCGTGCAATCACATCCTTCCTGCAATGTGGTGACAAGAACCGCAAGCAGTTGTGGCCTAACCAGCATTTTATACAGTTCCAACATAAAATTATTCTGTGCCTTAGCTAATAAAAGCAAGGATCCCATCTTTCTTCTAAACCAATTTATCTACCTGCCCTGCCACCTTCAGGGATCTGTGGATATGCACGTCACGGTCACTCTGATCTTCAGTGTAATCCCTTGCTTGTTAGCGCTCCCCAAATACATTACCTCACACTTTCCCGGTTGAATTCAAGCACTACCTCCTTGTAACAAATCTCTGCTAAGTATCCCCGACTAATCCCTGCCTCTTCAAGCCTAGATATATTCTGTCCCTCAGAATTCTTTCTAAAAGCTTCCCCTTCTTCACCACTGAAGTTATACTGACTGGCCGATAATTTCCTGGTATATCTCTTCATACCTTTTTTTTAACAAAATAACAACATTAGCAGTCCTGCAGTCCTCTGGCCCCTAATATCTCTTCCCTTGCCTCTCTTCACAGCCTGGGATATGTCTCATTTGGATGGATTCATCCAATTTTAAGGTTGATGAATCCTTCAGTGACTCCCCTTCCTATATGTGAATCTATTCTAACATTTCAAGGTGGAGGACGTCTATACCTGCATCCTCATTTATCATTAAGAAAACTGAAGCAAAGTATTCTAAGATGGCTGTACCTTTGTCTTCTGGGCCCACACACATATTACCTCCATAGTCTCTCATTGGCTCTGTACTTTCCTTAGTTACTCATTTGCTCTTTATGTAAAGGGATGAGGGGCTAGGGAGATAAGTGTTTGATAACGCTCAGTGCAGGTGATTAAGGAGATAGAACAGCAGATGGGTGAGCGAGATGGTGGGGTAAGGGTGTCTTGCAAATAAGACACATGGATGAGGGCGTAAGGTGGCAGATAAGTGGGTGGGGATAGGGTAGCAGTTGGAAGGGCGTAGGATGGCAGCTTGGTGAGGGATTACTGGTTACAGGTAAGTAGGTAAAAGAGCAGAGTGTGTCAAGCATCAGGATCAGGGTTCAGTTGAGGGGATACATTTGACTGCCCAGAAGCCGGGGCAGGAAGATGTTGGTGTGGGCGTGGCTTCCAGTGTCAGGGGATCGAGTGTCAAGAGGGTTGAGTGTTGGGGGTCTAGGTGTTGTGGGTTTGAGTATGTGAGAGTGGGGACAGGGGTGGGTAGGGGAGAATGTTGCGTGTTCGTAGGGGAATAGGAAATCATGTGTCAATGAAGTCAAGTCTTGGGAGGGAAATCAGGTTTCAAAGGCGATATCAGGGATGATTGTGATTGACTGAGGGGTGAGGGTTATTGTTAGCTGGGAGCAAGAGCAGGTTTAATGCCCTTTATCCTCTCCTGGGCGACCATTATGGTGGCAGATAGAACCCTCTAAAGTTTCTGACTCTGAATTGGATAAATAGTGGTCGTAAGTTTCAAATTCCCAGAAATTCTCATGTGATCAGGACTTGCAAGATACCTTTCTGAATCAGTGCAGTGTCCGACTGTCTGGAGACTGGAAGACCTGGGTCAACAGAATGATAGTGCCACCCTCATTGCCACTTGCAGATGGAGTCCAGGTGCCAATTGGACAGGGAGGCCAACAGGAATGAGTGTACTGACTTATTCCTGTCTAGTTTCCAATAGTATAAAAAGCAGAAGCTGTTAAAAGGAAAAAAAAGATTTGCAGAGCAAGCTGTTTCCTGATCCCCAATTGATCCTAGAGCATTCAGGCAGAGCACAACACAGAGAAACCCGATGCCAAATGTATCTGTCATTGGCCTTCAATCCGTTTCCATCTTTGTCATTGAGATCCTCAGTGAGATCAGTAAAGTGTGCAACATGAGCCTGCTTGATCCAGGCTCTAACTTTTATGTACCTCTGGGCTTATGGTATAGTGATGATGTTACCAGACTGGTAATGTAGATGAGTTGAAGTCCTGTCATGGCAGCTGGGAATTTAAATCAGTTAAATAAATAAACCTGAAAAAAATAGATATTAATGGTGTCCATGAAATTTCCGGATTGTCTGAAAAATCCACTTGGTTCGCTCATGTCCTTTGGTGAAGGAAATCTGCCAACCCTCCCAGGCATGCTTCATGTAACGATATGGTTTACCCTTAAAATGCCCTTAAAGGCCACTCATGTGTCTAAGATGGGCAACAAATGCCGCCCTTCCTCACATACCATGATTGAATATGAAAAGAAAATCTCTCAAGGGTGTGATTACCACTGCTTTTCTCACCGTGACTAAACGGATACATTCACAGGGTTTGGTTCGAATTTCTTGACATTTTTTGCCCAGTTTGAAGCCAGTCAGAGCAGATTGTATAGATTATCAATGTGTAGTACTGTATTCCCATCTATTCAATCGCTCCACTGCAACTTTTCTGAGACTGTGATGTGGTCACTTTGCAGTACTCACTGAGGGACTGTCAGCTATGAATCAAACATGCATCTGTCTCACTGCCTGCCTCTTGAAATGGTTTCCACTATAATAAAGATATTCAGGCTTGCCAAAGGCTGTGGCCACAGGCAGAAGAAGTATTAAAGGCCACTTCAAAACTGTATTAAATCTCTTTGCATTTCTAACTCCCTCTCCTGGTTTAGGAGACCAAGTTTTTGACCATAAATCCTATTATTTTCTTATTTGGATATAAATCTAAGTTGCTAATGTTGCTGTTGTGGGTTATAGTTTGTTGCTGAAGGCTTGTTTGTTCAGGTGTGGTACTGCTATTTCCCCTCTGTTGATTGCTTCAGTTTTTCTTTTGGTGTTTTTCATTTGTGATATTTGTACCTTAAGACATTATGCTATTTCACTTGAAGAACCAGCTTTTCCACTGCAGTGAAGAGGATGAGGAGGAACAAAGCAGACAGATCAGGCTGTTTAAACACCCACCGGAGGCATCACTAATCTCCCACCCATAACTAAGCACACTGCTGTATAACTGAGGCTTCCAACATCAACGCTCAAAGCTTGTAAAAGCTTCACTTTTCTCTTCTCTTTTATTTGTTTATGAAATATGAGGATTACTCTCGAGGCCAGCATTTATTGTCCACCTCTAATTGCTTTTGAAAAGGTAATGAGCAGCCTTCCTGAATTGCTGTAGTCCATGTTGTGTAGGTATATCCTTGGTGCTGTAAGGAACAAAGTTCCAGGATTTTGACCAGCAACTGCAAAGGAATAGCAATATAGTTTCAAGTCAGGATGATGTTGAGCTGAAGGGAGACTGCATGGATGGTCCCATGCATCTACTGCCCTTCGCCTTCTAGCTGGGCTTGGTAGGTCCCATTGAAGGAGGTTTGACAAACTGCTGTAGTGCATCTTGCACATACTGCACATTGCTGCCACTGTATGTAAGTGGTGGAGGGAATGAATGTTTAAGGTAGTGAAAGACTGCTGGTCAACTGGGTGCCTTTGTCATCTCAACAAGTCACTAAGTTAATCACGTCACCTTTTTGCCATGAAGTTGAAGCTCATACCTGTAACACACTGGACCTCACCTCTATTACAGTTTAGACATCACCTCAGCAAGAGCCTGGACCCCATCTCAACGACATTAGACCCCACATTGATGAGAGACTGGAGCCCAACATTGACTGAGAGGCAGAATGGTATCAAAAGTTACTATGTCACTGAATTTTTAAATCACTGCTCGGGCGACATCTGGAGCTACTTACAATAGTAACCAGGCGGTCCATCCTGGATAAAATGCACCATTTTGAATCACTCTGGGCAGTATTTCTGCCAGGTCTCTGAGAAATGGACGGATAATTCCATAGGGAGAATATTAATGCAACAGTTAAACATACTATACATTCATGTTTAAAACTTGTGCCCAGAATTGGAAGAAGACATTGGGACTCTGACTGAAAAGATGATGGTCATCTTTCCTTCTGCTGGATGTGGAAAACCTGTATTGAATTCATTACAGCTGGATTAAAGACAATTTTGACCTAATTTCTAGAAGGTGTCATTACAAAACTGCATGATTCTCCACAAGATGGCAATCTCATTCAGAGCTCTTTGGGATTTTCTTTCTTTTACAACCAAAACAATGAATGAATTGAATGACTATCAAATTTTCTGCTCTTTTCATTAAGGCCATGATAAAAATTATTTAAGCTGAGCTATTAAACCACAACCTAAATTGTGACCAAAGCTTGCCTTGTGGGAACTTAGCGTATTTTTGTATTGCAATCATTTTAATGACAGAAGCTACAGCAGAACAAGGAGCTCTCTGCTGCCAAGTAATGATGGCTGTTCTTCAAGTGATTCATTGAGAAATTCCCGGCTTTGGCATTACTTAGGAAGGCAAAGTTACCATGGAGATGGATTCATGTTGGCCTGGCCAGCCACCAAGAGTAGAATTGTTTCTGGAGTAACAAATTAATATTGGGATATTTATTGATGCTGAAATATATCTTTTGTGAGGTGCAGTCTTGCTTCAAACCTTGCCAAATGTCCAGATTTATGCTTTCTTTTACATTTTGTTGTCTTTCTGAAAAGTTTCTTTCCTCTGTGCATTCTCTTTCTGCATAAAGAACTGGGCAAGCATTAGTACATGTTCTTTACTGCTCAGGCAGTCATGGCCATCTAGGACACTTACTGCCAGGAAGGGTAGGAGTTGAGGCTAGGATACTTAACATTGCACACATTCTGCAGACCGAGTGAGTGAAGCTCTCTATATTAGGAAGGATGGACCAGGTGATACATAACTACAGAGACAGCGCAGAGAAACAGAAGCCTTCCAAAATTGAAATAAATCAACAAATAGGAGATTTTGCAGAACCATATACTGAAGAAGAGTCATACTGGATTTGAAACGTTATATCTGATTCTCTCTCCACGCAAGCTGCCGGACCTGCTGATTTTCTCCAGTATTCTCTGTGTTTGTTTCAGATTTCCAGCATCCACAGTATTTTGCTTTTGTCTAAGAGATTAAACAGTATAAGAATGGAATCTAGGACCACTGAACAATGACATCAGGACAAGGGACACAGGCACTATATGGCAAGAAGCAATATTTAAGATTGATGTTAAAAATACCTTTGGGAAGGAATGAGCAATCTGTTGAATAGCTGCTGAATATAGTAAAAGGATATGGTTGTGATAGGAGGCACTTTGGGAAAGGGAAATGCTGGGGTATTGATTGTAATGGATGAACTGAGATTGACCAATTGCCTTTCGCATCTACGTCCATCTTGTGATCTGGCAATAGTTGGCAATAATCTTCAAGACCCATCCTTAGATTATTTCAATTTAAAAGTTTTCATGAAAAGGACAACCGTCTCAGAGCATCATGCCTGGTTTAACCAGTGCTACCCATAAAAACATTGGTAAAATACAGATATGAATCTGTGATGTTGGCATAATGAGAGCAGGAGCAGTCGCTAAGATATCAAATTACAGCAGGACATTGTGCAAAGACTCTCTTGCATCAGACAAGAGAGTGAAATGGTCTGGAATGTTCAGCTTTGTGAGCCTTTCCACACCCAGTTAAGACTTAAGTGAAATATGAGAAAATGAAAAATATACTGATTTTTTTACCTAATGTTTATTACCTAATGTATTATTTTATAACATCAATGTTTTGATGATCTATGGTAAAGGTATTATGTTATAAATCAATCCTATAGTGTGTATTTTATATTAGTGGAGACTAACATAAGAATTTAATTCCCTGCTATGCTTCCAGATTCCCCTTATCTGGAATAAAAAACAGAAAATGTTGGAATCACTCAGCAGTTGCAGGTCACTGTTGAAAGTGTGAGGAAACCCCTATACAAGATGACCCAGGGCTGGTCCTGACAGATATGGGGCGCTTTAGGTCTATCTTGAATCCGGGACCCTTGGCCTTGATGCCTACATTCAGGATCTTGTTACTTGTCGATTCCAGTCAATCTTGTTTAATTGGTTAAAAAAAGTTAAGCTCTCAATGGGTCCAGGTGATGACGAAAAGGAAAAATACTGCAGCTACCCACAGCATGTGGCTGGGTGGTAGCTCTGATGTGTCCCTGATTCCAATACAGATATCAAAAGGATCTGGAAACCCTGCTCAATATTTCAAGTCACCCTATAAGAACAGCTCTGGGAACTGTCGACCTACATGTTGAGTATATCCATCATATTTTTCTTTTTATTTCAGAGTTTCAGTGTCCTGCCATCACCTGGAATGTTGCATAGAAGTCATTATAAGAATCCTGCACTAAGCTTTTCCCAGACAGCATCTTTGTACCTCTGGATGAGATTGTCAAAGCGTTATCTTTTACCATTATTCCAGGTTTCATTGTAAACAGCAAGAGATTATTGGAAAATATCTCATCAGCCAAGTTCTCAATATGTCAAGGCAGTTGCTAAATGAAGGGCATGAGGATCCAGCAGAATATCACACAGGTCAGTCTCTTGAGTGCCATGGGTTTCCAACTTAAAGTCTCAGATAATTGTCATAGAGGTCATGAAATCCAATTCTGTTAGGTCCATTTCTTTGTCACAGTGAATGCTATTTTTCCTCTAGAGTTGCATCCCTATGGCACAGATATACTTCTGATGCTGTTCTGGCTGGCTGTGTTTTTGAGTCATGTCGCTCAACTAGCAGCAATCCTGAACACTAGGCTGATGTTCTGCGGTTATGGGCTCAAATCCCACCATGGCAGTTGAATTCAATTAAGAAATAAATTTTGGAATTAAATGGTCTAATGGTTACTGTGGACAGTGGTAAAATTTGTGGCACAATCAGATAAGAGATCAGAAGAGATTTACCATGATATAGTGGGAATGGAGGGTTTGAGTCATAAGGAAAGGCTGGATAGACTGGGACTTTTTCCACTGGAGCATAGGAGGTTGAGAGGGGTGCTTATAGAGGTTTATAAAATCGTGAGGAGTATAGAGAAGGTGAGTGGCAGGTGTATTTTCCATAAGGTGGGGGATTTCAAGACTAAGGAACTTTTTTTAAGGTGAGAGAAGAAAGATTTAAAAAAGACATGAGGGATAACTTTTTTTACACAGTGGTTCTTGTGTAGAATGAACTTCCAGAGGAACTGGTGGATGTGGGTACAGTTACAATGTTTAAAATACATCAGATAAGTACATAAATAAGAAATGCTTGGAAGGATATGAACCAAGTGCAGGCAGGTGGGACTAGTTTAGTTTGGGAACCTGGTCGGCATAGAAGAGTTGGTCCGAAAGTCTGGTTTCTGTGCTGTATGACTCTGTGACTCTATCAGAATAGAATAGTAATTTACTGCTACTTGTATTTTTACAAAAAAAAACAGTGAAACTCCGGCACCATTTTAATAACAGAAATTATATATGTTAAAAGAAAATGCTGAGCGACCAGGTAGTTCCTCAATAGACAGTGGTGAGTTGTCAATTAAGGGGAATTATAACTTGTTAAATACTTTTTTAATGGTCCAACTCATCTCATTAATATTTAGCTTTCTGTTTTACCAAACACACCAAACAAGCTAGATGTTGAAAGTTTCAACATGGAAGCCGAAGTGGATACCTGGTGACTTCAGCTCACTGCTCACTACAAAGACTCCATGTCGCTCAGCACCAAACAGTGTCTCTGGGCACCAGGCGTGCCGAGCCCTTGTCCATCTCCTGAGTGGCAAGTTGTCCCAGGAACAGCATGTGATAAGCTGGGGATGGAATTGGATGTCAGGGATGCCATGGGGGTAGTATAAGTAGTTAATGAAGTACATTTGGTAAAATACGGCCAGAAATCTCGCTGGGTCTTATGGTGAGAACCCTCCAAAAGACTCAAAACAACTTCCATTTAACCAAAAAAAGCCTAAGTTTCAACCCCATGTAACCCGTATTGATTGTTGTAAAAATCCATCTGCTTCAATAATTTCCTTTCGTAGAACCCCTACAGTGTGGAAACAGGCCCTTTGGCCCAACAGGTCCACACCGACCCTCAGAGCATCCCACCCAGACCCATCTGCCTGTAACCTACACATCCCTGAACACTATGGGCAATTTAGAATGGCCAATCCACCTAGCCTGCACATCATTGGACTATGGGAGGAAACTGGAGCATCCAGATGAAACCCACACAGACACAGGGAGAATGTGCAAACTCGACACAGACAGTTGCCTGAGGGTGGAATTGAACCTAGGTCCCTGGCACTGTGAGGCAGCAGCGCTAACCACTGAGCCACCATGCTGCCCTTTAGGGAAGGAAATCTGCCATCCTTACCCAGTCTACATGTGACTCCAGCCCTGTCTGGTCAACTCTTAACTGCCCTTTGAAATGACCGACAGAACCAATTAGTTCAAGAAAAACTCAGGATAGGCAACAATTGCTAGCTTAGATAGCGACACCCAAATCACATGCAAAACCTAAAAAAAAGCACTGCTGGTAACAGCCTTAGCACATCTGCAGGGAGCATCCAGTGAAACATGCAGAGTAGAGGAGATAATGCAGCCAACGAGTGTGTAACACTGACTTAACACGAGATGTGTTTCTTTGTGCTGCACCACCAGGGACGGCAGTTCCTGCACATGTTCAGATACAGGGTGGAATATTCCCTTTCCAATAAGTGGTGGGCTAGGCGGTGAAAAGAGCAGATATTCGGTGTGGGGGGGCGGCGGCAAGGCGAGTGGTTTGTTAGGACTTCCTAACCACTTGTGGGGGAGGTGGGAAGGATATCTCCCAATTTGCACATTATTGTAAGACCAAGGGACATGCCCTAGGGCTCAGAGAAGGACCTCTCAGAGCTACCAGCCTGCCCTCACTTCCTGATTTCTCTGTCCCTCTTGCCCCAGTATCAGGATACCCCCTCTGCAAACATTTACCCTTCTCTGGTGGAATCTGGACGGTGCTGTCTCAGCTACTCCAGATAAGTGGGCCATCCTGGAACTAAACACAGCAGGTCTGGAAGCATCTGTGGAGAGAGAAACAGAGTTAACATTTTGAGCCTGGTATCGCTGTTGTTCAGAGCCTGCTGCCAGACCTGCTGAGTTTCTCTGGCATTCTCTGTGTTTGTTTCGGATTTCCAGCGTCTGTAGTATTTTCCTTTGGTTGAGGGACATCTTGGCAAAACTTCATAATTCCAGCAGAAAACCTGCTGTTTGCTGTCACCTACCTGAAAGATAATTGATCCAGGGCACTTTCTGAACAAGGTTTCTCTCTATTAAACCTTCATACATTTGGACTTATTCCAAAAATGGAAAAAATCTCAGCCACAAAGTGTTGCAGTGAATCTGCCTGTGGCTGTATCATTTGCAGCTAGGCAGACGTCTCAAATTAAATAATTCCAAATGAATTTAAACTTGGTATCAGGGACAAAATTAAAACAGAATCACATCAGGATTGACTGTTCCCCAAAGTGTACTGTTAATTTGTCAATCATTATTATTACAATTCCATCAGAAACACATCAGGGTTTTCAAGTTGCAAGAAGAGATTGGAGAGATTGGGGTTGTTTTCCATGGAACAGAGAAGGCTGAGGGGTGACATGATTGAGGTATACAAAATTGTGGGGGCTAGAGTTGGATTAGACAGGAGGAGCCTGTGACTGACGCTGTGGCTGAGATTTTCCCATTTTATTTAAATAAGTCCAAAGGCATGAAGGTGTAGTAGAGAGAAACATAGAACATAGAACATAGAACATTACAGCGCAGTACAGGCCCTTCGGCCCTCGATGTTGCGCTGACCTGTGAAACCAATCTGAAGCCCACCTAACCTAAACTATTCCATTATCATCCATATGTTTATCTAATGACCGTTTAAATGCCCTTAAAGTTGGCAAGTCTACTACTTTTGCAGGCAGGGCATTCCACGCCCTTACTACTCTCTGAGTAAAGAACCTACCTCTGATATCTGTCCTATATCTATCACCCCTCAATTTAAAGCTATGTCCCCTCGTGCTAGCCATCACCATCCGAGGAAAAAGGCTCCCACTGTCCACCCTATCGAATCCTCTGATCATCTTGTATGTTTCTATTAAGTCACCTCTTAACCTTCTTCTCTGTAACGAAAACAGCCTCAAGTCCCTCAGCCTTTCCTCATAAGACCTTCCCTCCATACCAGGCAACATCCTGGTAAATCTCCTCTGCACCCTTTCCAATGCTTCCACATCCTTCCTATAATGCGGTGACCAGAACTGTACGCAATACTCCAAGTGCGGACGCACCAGAGTTTTGTACAGCTGCAACATGACCTCATGGTTCCGAAACTCAATCCCTCTATCAATAAAACCTAACACACCGTACGCCTTCTTAACAACACTATCAACCTGGGTGGCAACTTTCAGTGATCTATGCACATGGACACCGAGATCTCTCTGCTCATCCACACTACCAAGAATCTTACCATTAGCCCAGTACTCTGTATTCCTGTTACTCCTTCCAAAGTGAATCACCTCACACTTTTCCGCATTAAACTCCATTTGCCACCTCTCAGTCCAGCTCTGCAGCTTATCTATGTCCCTCTGTAACCTACAACATCCTTCCGCACTATCCACAACTCCACCGACTTTGGTGTCACCTGCAAATTTACTAACCCATCCTTCTACACCCTCATCCAGGTCATTTATAAAAATGACAAACAGCAGTGGCCCCAAAACAGATCCTTGAGGTACACCACTAGTAACTGAACTCCAGGATGAACATTTCCCATCAACCACCACCCTCTGTCTTCTTGTTCAGAAAGTGCCCTGGATCAATTATCACCCAGATAGGTGACTGGCAACCATCAGGTTTTCTACTGGAATTATGAAGTCTTGCCAGGATATTTCCCTTGGCAGACAGCTCAAAAATTCAGGGTTGTAGGTTCAAGCTAAGTGGCAGAAGGATTAGAGGGGGCGTGAGGAAAAGCTTTTTTATGTAAAAAGTGGTGGGTGTCTGGAACTCACTGGCTGAATTGATAGTGGGGGCAGAGACCCTAAGCTCTTATAAAAAGTACGTGAATTTACACCTAAGGTGCTGTAAGTTGCAGGGCTATGGGCCGTGTGCAGGAAAATGGGATTAGAAAAGGCACCTGGGTGTATTTGGGTCAGCATAGGCAGGGTGGGCCAACTGGCCCCTTTCTGTGCTATGTCATTTCTATGGTTTTGTTTTTTTAATAGAACTTCTTGCAGATAATATAAGGAATGGAATGAAAAGAGTTGACATTTATGGGCTTAATCTACCTTCCATTATTTATTAACTCCTACTTCATTCCAGAAATGAGTTTATACTTTGGTAAAGAGATAACAAATAAGCAATATTCAATTTTAAAAACTTGCCAGGTACTGTGGGGTTTGACACTATGAGTCTGGGTTTAAGAGATTACAGACCACCAGCCAAGCTAGCTGGGAAATGTCTTGACAAAGCCTTTCCAACTTGCTTCTGAGACTGTTGTTTAAACCTGCAAATACAAATTTAATTTTATATTTCCACAATGTATTACAATTTGAACAAGTCTACCCAAATAATAAAGATGGAAACTGAAGTGGATTTGATGCTGTGCAGGCTCATACACACTACTGATGCTTTTGCTGTTGAATAGAAAGCATCAGGATCATTTGTGCATGTCCTGGCAGCAGTCGTGTGACCGTAAAGAGAGCAGAGTACAAAAGCTGATAGAACACAGTGTGAAACTGGAGGAGCACAGCAGGCCAGGCAGTATCAGAGGCATAGGGAAGTTGACGTTTCTGGTCAGGTCCCTTCTTCAGAAGGTCAGTGTTATTTCTGACTCCAGCATCGGTAGTTCTTACTATGTCTGATAGAGTACAAAAGCTGGAAGGCTTTCCTAAAAACTGTACAAAGCACTAATCAAACCACACCTCAAATACCATCAACAGATTGGGCCCTTATCTAAGGAAAGATACACTGGCAAAGGAGGCTGATACCAAATATGGACTACCTAATGGGGAGAGGTTAAGTAGATTGGCCCTGTACTCACTGGAATTTAGAAGAATGAGAGGTGACCTTATTGAAAGAAACAACATTCTTAGGGGACTTGTCAAGGTACATGTGGAAAGGTTGTATCTCCTTATGGGAGTCTCTAGGACCAGTGATCATAATCTCAGAATAAATAGTTACACATTCAAGACAAAGATGAGGAGGAATTTCTTTTCTCAGAAATTAGTGAATCTGTGGAATACTTACGACCGAGGGCTGATGAGGCTGGATCATTCAGTATATTCAAAGCTGAAACAGGTTTTTCATTGGTAAAGAACTCAAGAGGTGTAGGGAAAAGGCAAAAAACTGGAGTGAAGGATTATCAGATCAGCCATTATCTCATTGAATGGTTGAGCAGACTCGATGGGATGAATGGCCTACTTCTGCTCCTGTGTTTTATGATCTTACATACAACTGCACCTGATGCTTTTCTGGTTGACAGCAGAGGCTAGAAGGTTTAGCTCTGATGTTCTCATTTTGGAGCTCAACATTCCAGCTAATGGTGTGATGAAAAGTATGTGAATTATATATGTTGTCACTTTTTTGTGGAGTTTGGATTTCAAACCAGTGACAAATGGGTTTTTTTGTGTGTGAAGTACCTTAATAATTAACTAGAACAGTCTTCTTGGAACCATGATTTTAAACCAGCATGTGACAGAGAGTAGTAGTATGAAGAAATCCTGGAGAGTCAATGGAAGATTGTTTATATTGTGGGGTTTTGCAACAGGAGAGGGAAAACATTAAAAATATGCCCTTTAGGTTTGAACTCCCCTACCCTGTGGAAAAGACCTTTGCTTTTGGCCTAAACTATGCCCCTCATGATTTTATAAACCTTTATAAGGTCACCCTTTAACCTCCTACGCTCCAGTGAAAAAAGTCCCAGCCTATCCAATCTTTCCCTATGACTCAAACCCTCCAGTTCTGGCAACATCCTTATAAATATTTTCTGTACCATCTCCAATTTAATCATATCCTTCTTATTGCAACCCTCCACCACGATGCCTAGTAGCAGCAGTGTGTACTATCTACAAGATGCACTGCAAAAATTCACCAAACTTCCTCAGACAGCACCCATTCACTATCCTGGCTTGGAAATATGTCGCTGTTCCTTTGCTGTCACTGGGTCAAAATCCTGAAATTCTGTCCATCATGACATTGCTGGTCAACCCACAGCAGGTGAACTATACCGGCTCAAGAAGGCAGATAAACACCACCTTTTCAAGGGCAATGAGGGACAGGACAATAAATGTGGCCAGCCAGTGACACCCACATCCCACAAATGAATGAAAAAAAGTCATAGATTTACATTAAAAGTGCAGTTGGGTTTACCACATCACAGTTGTTAATGAAGCTTGATCTTGCTGGTATCAATAGAGAAAAGCACATGTCAGAGAGAAAGATCTGACAGAGAAAACAGAAGTTCGTATATCAGTAGTTGCTTTCAAAATCTCATATTTTTCCACCATTTTTGTTGAAGTTGACCCACGTTTAATCCTCACTAATCTGATCCTCTAGCAGACATTTTCCTGGTTTCTTATCCTGTCTCCATTTATCACTCAGGTGATCTCTACTTTTCTTATGCTTGAAGGGATCAATAATTACTTGAAAGATTGTTTTGATTGTTTTCACAGTTTTCACTGCCACCATTGCTGAGGTGTACAGTAGTTTCCAGAGGTGTTTTAAATTGCTAAAGTCTACAGGGAGTGCTGTGGCAAATAGTGAAGGAATGACCTTGATTTCGAGATTATTGTGCCAATCATTTACTTCACACTACATGCATCCCCCTTGGACTACAGCATAACAGAGAGAATGGGCAGAGTCAACACAAAGGCAGACTCTTTCCTGGAGGAAAAGAGGGTTCTCACTTGTAGGTCATTACCAGCCAGGGTGTTCGGGGAGCATTTCTCCAACCTTAACTGTCAATAAGGGACAGTGTCAGGAATCTCCAATTCAGTTATTGAAATCTGCCACTGGCTGCAGTCACATCCAGTAGATCCTACCAGTGTGCACTGATAGTGGAGTAAGTGTATGTTTGCTGATCAAACAGGCTTTTTCTTCCTGATGTTATTGGACTCATCCAGGCAAATAGAGAATATTCCGTAACACTCTTGACTTATGCCACTGAGTGAAGGCTTTCACTAGTATAGATTAATAGCTTTTCTTCAGTTGCTATATACTGACAGGTAATTATATATTCACTCTAATTTGCAGCTTTGATTATGAAAACAAATTTTCAACCAAGTACATGCAAATTTGGAAACAAATGTATAATTGCCTCTTAGATCTGATGGACTATACATTCAGTAAATAAATGATTTTGAAATGTATATACATGTTTAAATTAAAACAATTGTGTGGGAAACCACAGTTAACTCCATAGCAATATTCTGCTCCCTTCCCTGCAGGATTAAACCTTAACAATAAATGAGATGAAACAATCTCAATTTCAGGGCATGAAAATATCAATTGATGTAAATGCATTTGCGTGAGGGAGTGATCTACAACTTCTGGTTACTGTCATATTATTCCTTGACAAGAACTGAGCTAAAGCTGAGATTTATCTTTACAGGAGGTTACCATCCAGTGAAGTTAGGGGATGTTTTTAATGGAAGGTATCAAGTGATGAGAAAACTGGGCTGGGGCTATTACTCAACAGTGTGGCTTTGTCAGGATCTGCTGTAAGTAACCAATCTTGTTCATGTTGACTTTATTAAAGAATTGTTAAGGCCTGCAGTTTATTTTTAAATTGACAAACCAAGATTAATGATTGTAGATGGACAGTACAGATCTGCTTTTCACAGGAGATGCACTTCTGGGGAATACCACAGTTAGTGATATTATTGAACGATCTGCAGTACTCACAGTGCACACGTTTTCTCCTGGAAAGCCACAGATGAGTGAATGTTAGAATTGCAGTAGGCAAAATAATACACAATAATATCAAATGGATCAACAAATTCACAAACTGTTCACAATTCTCTTCTGGCAAATGCAGGAGGTTTAACTGCATCACAAAGATTAAAACAAAAGAGATGAAGTAAATCAGAAAATAGTGATTTGATTACATCAAGTGTGAGATTTTGAAATCTGTGAGCACCAAGTGAAAGGGATGACTGTGAAATGAGTGTTGAAAGTTGGTAACATATTTTACATCTTTCCTAATATTCATTTCCATTGATGTCAATATGGCTGTCACCAATGTGGCCAAATTTATTGCCTACCTTGATGTGCCCTTGAGAAACTTGACGTAGGCCATCATTTTAAATCACGGCCATCCTATAATAAGGTACTCCAGCAATGCTCTTCCAGGATTTTGACCTAAAGGTGAGGTTGAAATTACAATACATATCAAATTCAGGATAGTGTGAGATTTGGAGGGCAATTGTAGGTGTAGTGTTCTCATATACCTGTTGTCCTTGCCCTGCAATGTGGAGGTATTCATGGGGAGATAGCAAGAACAGCAGATGCTGGAGTCAGAGTCAATACAGTGTGGAGCTGGAGGAACACAGCAGGTCAGGCAGCATCAGAGAAGCAGGAAACTCGACATTTCAGGTTTACACCCTTCACTGAGGGGAGTCATGGGTTTGGTGGAACTACCAAAGAAATTATGATGAGTTGTTATAGTGAATTCCTGTAGTGAATTGTACATACTGAAGTCATACTATGCCACTGGATGAATACTTAAACAGGCCCCAGAGGGAAAGAACAGTAATACTTCAAAATTAATGTGCTGCTTATTGCAAAGCTCCATCTTGAAGAGATTTGATGTTTTACCCCCATTTTACGCTATCTCCTCAAGTAAAAATCTATTCCCATGCCTCTTTCAGTCATTCCTTATATGGGAGGTGGTGGCATAGTGGTAATGTCATTGGACAAGAAACAGGCTAATGTTCTGGGATATAGATTTGAATCCCACCATGGCAGATGGTGAAATTTGAATCCAGTAAAATCTGGAATACAGAGATGAACTAATGGTGACTATATAGCCACTGTCCATTGTCATAAAAAAACCCATTTGGTTCACTAAATTCTTTTAGGGAAGGAAATCTGCCATTCTTACTTGGTCTGGCCTTTATATAACACCAGAACCACAGAAATGTGGTTGACACTTAACAGTACTCTGGTTAAATAAGGATGGGCATTTAATACTTGTCTAGTCAGTAGATGAGTTGGGGGATCTTGTGACACAGTGTTAGGGTCCCTGATTCTAGGCCAGAAGATTTGGTTCTGGCCCCATCTGCTTTGTATGTGTAACAATGTGTCTGGATGACTCAATTAAAAAGAGATAATTACCCTACTAGGGACTTACCTTTGGGTTAAGTTCCCTGTTTGAGATGGCCATTTCCTGACACTTGTATAGCTTGTGTATTACCCCCTGTTTATCAGTCTCAGCCTGATGTTATCCAGTTCATGCTGCATAAAGGCACAAACTGCTTTATCACATGATGAATAGCTTAAACATTTGTGAAGGGGCTTAGGACTAGTTTTGTATTGATGCTACACATATGCAAGTTGCTTTGTCAATAAAAAACTTAATGCAATTACATTTCATTTAACAGAAAAAATAAATTTGTGGCAGTAAAGGTGGCGAAGAGTGCAAGGGGGTTTTCAGAGGCAGCGCAGGATGAGATCAGGCTTCTGAAATGTGTGAGTAACCTCTTATAGAAGTGTTAAGCAAACGTAAAGATGGATGTGCCTTCAAATTCCAATGAAAAGACTGGAGCCACACCATTGGAATGCTGCCTTGTGAGAGATTAAATAGAGGCACACTTTCCCCTCTTAGATTTTAAGAAAATCCCACAGCAGTATTTGATGTAAGGGGTCGTTTCTCCCCAGTGTCTTGATGAAAATTTATTCCTCAATCAATATTACTAAAATAGATTGTCTGGCCATTATCTCACTGCTGCTTCTGGAATTCTTACTGTGTGAAAATTGGAGGTTGTATTTCTTTCACTAAAACACTGGCTACCCTTTAAGTGCCCATAATTAAAAGTGATTTTAGATATCCCTAGGTCATCAAAAACACTATCTAATTATGAGGACTTTATCTCATTAAATGAAGGAACTAGGTGTCCCGATACAGCTGGAATATCTGTCGTTGCTCATCCTCTGCCATATCGCAGTTTGGAGTCTCGGCTCTGGGAAATAATACAAGTGGAGAGGCCTTGTGCAATCAGTGAGACCCAGATAGTACGTCAGAGCATCTCCTCCTCCCGACTTTGCAAAATTAAAAATTAAGGATTTGCTGTGCCATGATTTTGAACAATCTCTAGAAGAGGAACATATGAAATAGGAGCAGAGTAGGCCATTTATTATTTCAAAACTTCATCCACACCGTCTTTAAAATTTTCAGTGATCTAGCATCCAACACTCTCGAGGGTAAAAACGAAATTCCTTTGCATTTCAGTTTTATATGAATGCCCCCAAGTTATGTAACTATGTCCCCTTGTCCGAGACTCATCGAAACACCTTCTCAACTTCAACCCTGCCAAGTCCCCTTAGAATCTTGCATGTTTCAGTAAGATCATCCTTATTCTTTTAAACTCTAATAAACAAAGGCCTAAGCTATTTAGCTGTCTCGATCAGCCAACCCCAGGAATCATCCTCATGAATCTCTTTTGAAATAACTTCAATGCCAGTATGTCTATTTTAAATATGGGAACCGAACATGTACACAGGTGCACCCTGACCAACACTCTGTATATTTGTAAATAAGCCTCACTTTTTTAAAACTTCAGTTCCCTTACAGTAAAGGTCAACATTTAATTTGTCTCCTTAATTACTTGTTGCATCTACATGTTAACTTTTTTGTGTTTTATGCACAAGAACACATGTGCTCCATCTTTTTTAAAGTCTCTCTCCATTTAAATAATAATCTGCTTTTTGATTCTTCCTGCGTTACCTACACTAAACTCCATCTGCCAAAGTTTTGTCTACTTGCTCAACCTTACAGTATCCCCTTGCACATTCCTTATATCCCCATCACAAACTGCTCTCCCACATATTTTTATATCGTCAGCAAATTTGGATACAGCACATTCTGTCCCCTCCAATAAGTCATCAAGGTAAATAGTAAATAATTGAGGCACTAGAACTAATCCTTCTGGCACTCCACTTGTTTTATCTTTCCAACCTGAAGAAGTCCCATTAATCCCATTTCTCTGTCTCTGTGTATTAACCAATCTTCGATCTATGCTAATGCATTCCCCCTCATACCATGAGCTCCTATCTTCCTATAAGCTTTTATGTGACACATTATTGAATACCTTCTGGAAATCCAAATTTATTACACCTATCGGTTACCCTTTAACAACTCTGCTTATTATATCCTCAAAGAAATCTGGCAAATTTGACAAACATGATTTTCTTTTCACAAACAATGTTGATTCTGTTTGATTATGTTAACCTTTTCTAAATGGTCTGCTATTTCTTCCTTAACAATGGATCCTAGCATTTTCCCAATGAAATATGTTTGGTTAACTCACCTACAGTATCCATCTTTCTGTCTCCCTCTATTCTTGAACAGGGTGTCCATTACCAGTTTTCCAATCCACTGGAACCTCCTGGAATCCAGTGAGTTCTGGGATATTTCAACAAATGCCTCCTCTATCTCAGCAGCCATTTCCTTTAAACCCTTGGATGGAGGCAGCAGGTCCTGGTGACTTGTCTGCTTTTAGTTTCATTAGCTTTTCAAATATAATGTCCCTCATAATAGAGACCGTTACAAGATCTTTTCTCTCATTAGCATCTTGCTTATCTGTCATCTTTGGGGTGTTTATAATGTTCTCCACTGTGAAGACAAATGCAAAATATGACTTTAAATTACCTGCCATTTCCCTGTTTCCCATTACTAATTCCCCAGTTGTATCCTGCAAGTGTCCCACATTTACTTTAGCTACTCCCTTTCTTTTTATATACATGTAGAAACAATTTGCGTTAATAACCAATCAACATCCAAAAGACCTGAACCTCACAATATCTCATATTTCCATGTATAAATGCAAATTTCCTGAACTAATAGTGTTATATCTATCGGTACATAACTCCTTTGAAGTTTCACTTTGAAGTAAAGAAATAGCAAACCATTTCTGTAAATTACCTCAATTCACCTCAAAGATATTCCATGGCGATCCACACAAGCGGGCTTTGTAACTTGCTGGGATTTCAGGTTTAACACTGGCAATTTTAAATTCCTGTTTAAAAATCTAGAGACAAGTTCAAGATTGTCCTTTAAGAAGGGAAGTATTCTATCCTTATATGGTCTGGGCCTACATGTGACTGCAATGGTTGGTTTAACAGCAAGTGGTCTCCAAGACACTCAGTCATATAGAAGGCCCATCACCACATGTGTTGATCCCAATAATGTCTTTCTGTGCTCTAATTACTTTGTGAAACCACCTTCTAGACTGAGGGTGGACAATAAGTGATAGTATTGTTTGCAATGCTTCTACACTGAGAATTCATCAAAGCACAATTTCTCAACAGCCTTTCCTTCCTCCCACTCACAGAAGACCCAGCAGAAAACTATCAATTCAATACCCATCTTCTCAAAGGCAAACTCCAAGAACAGATCACATAGGACAAAGGGGAGTCAATCCCATACCCTAAGGTGGTCCTTTCCTGCCTGCATATCCTACATGATACCACGTGCTGCCAAAGCAAAACTTCACTCCAGCTTTGAGAGCATGTTCGGGGATGGATAGGAGAAAGATTGGCATCAGTGTCATTCTCTAGCTGAGAATCTAACATGGTATTCATGCCTTGCTGCACAGTTTCTCCTACATATTAAGAATGACAGCATTCGATGATTGGGAAGTATGTTGGGGATATAAGAAAGGAAAGGAAAGTAAACGTCCACTGATCTGAGAATTGGACTGTATGTGGTGGCAATGTGAGTTATTCCCTATAAGTCAGTCAAGTCTTCTCGTTAATCCAAACATGCAGATTGGGAACAGAACCTGTGTATGGCACCTGGATCTATGATATTAGATCGTCTTCCTCTGGGCAATAAGCAGCTTAAAAGCTCACAAGACTTACCTGCACCTTCCTCTGAGTTCAGGTTGCAGTTGCACATGTGAGACAGCATGCACTGAAAACCACACATGGAGCCTTGAGAGGCTTGGCATTTGGCAGTAGGGTCAAAATGGGGCCTAGGCTGGTTACAGACTACATCTCCCAGAATGCATGTTGGTTGTCAAAACAAATGGCTGCCCAGACTCAGATTCTTACTCCAGGACATTGGGTTAAGGCTGGAACTTGGACCCCCAAGCAGAGTGCTCACCAAAGGCTTGTGTGTGAGCACGTTAACGTCACTTGAGATAAGGCTGTTTCTGCCATTGTGTGGCCCATTGAAGGTTAATTAGCACCATTTTCACTTTTACCCTCAAGCCCTGCTGAGAAGTGGCAAACAGTGCTGAAACCTTGTCCATTTAAAAGCGAACACCACCACTTCTGACCTCATGATGGAGGGAAGGTCATTGCTGAAGCAACTGGAAATGATTGGGACTAGGATACTAGCCTGACGAACTCCTGCAGAGATGTTCTGGGACTGAGATGACTGACTGAATGGGATGGACTTGGCAGAACCCAAAGTGAGCTTCAGATAGCCATTTATAGCTGAGCAAGTGCCATTGGTAGCAATGTTGCCATCCCTGCTTTGCTAATGATTAAAAGTAGACTAACACAGCTGGGTTAAATTTGTCTTGCTTTTTGTGGACAGGATATAACTGGGCAAATATCCACATTGCTCAGAAGATGCCAAGTGTTGTAGCTGTAATGGAATGGCTTGCCTAGATGTACAGCTAATTCTAAGCCCAGGTCTTCAGTACTGCTTCCAGAATGTTGTCAGGATCTGTGGGTTTTGCAGTATCCAGCACCTTTAGCCACTTCTTGATATTATGTGGTGTGAATCAAATGAGCTGCAAACTGGTATTAGGGAGGCTGGGGACTTCCAGGAGAGTCTGAGATGGATCGTCCTCTCAAGTCTTTTTGCTGGAGCTGGATGCAAATGCTTCAGCCTTGACTTTTGCATTGGACCTTTGTTCACCCATTGTTAAGAATGAGATATCCATGTAGCTTCCTTTTCCTGTTAGTTGGCCACCTCCATTCACAGCTCAATGTGGCAGGAGAACAGAGTTTTAATCTGATCCATAATTTGTGCAATTGCTTAGCCCTGTGTATCACATGCTGTTTCCGTTGATTAGCATGTGAATGGTCAAGTTGTAGCTTCACAGGGTTGACTCTTCATTTTTACATAGAATGCCTGATGCTGCTTCTGGCATGCCTTCCTTGACATATCATTGACCTAGTAATAGTCCTTCTTAGAATTTGAAACATGGCCATTTGTTTGAAGCACATGCAGTGTATTTACCACACAAGTTGGTGGCACATGTTGCAGATGTGAGATTGATATAGCATGATGCCTACAATAACATGTGCACCTCCTTCACTGATCCTTGCTGGCAACTATGAGAACTGGCATAGCTAACATCTCTGAGGGGTTGGGAAGATTCAGGTTAATGGCTTTCCATCAGAACTAGAATTAGGAATGAAATAGTTTTTAGGCAGACCAACATACAGAAAAAGTGGGCTAAAAACCAAAGGTGAAAGTCTGTAAGGAGCCAGAAGGCAGGAGAGACTAAATGACAAAGAGGGTACTGGTGCAAGATACAGGGTGGTGTAAATGGGACAGGTATAGGAAGAAAACACAGGGCTGGGGAAGCAGTAATGTTACAGAAATATCACAAAATCATGGAATTGTTCATCATAATTTCTTGCAGGAATGGCTAAAGCTGGATATTGAACGGCATTACATATGACACATTTAAAGATTCCTACATATTTCAGTTACTTCCCAAAGGGTGTCTTGTGTCCTTCCGTTCTCCCAATCGCATCAAGACATTTACAGAAACTAAATAAGCATGCAGGAACACTGTCCCAACATGAAGTGCCAATATCTCAAACAGTCAAATGATCATAAGTATAACATAAAAACAGAAAGTGCTGGAGAAACTCAACAGGCCTAGCAGCATTTGTGGAGAGAAAAATACAGTGAAGCAACTTATTCTTATTTTAATAATTAAGGTTCTCAACAAAACATTTTAACATTCTATTGTGTTCTCATTAAAAAGTTATTTATTTTCTCAGGTGAGATGGAAATGTTCAAAGGACCCAGGAAAAGACCGAATAGTCCAGCTACTGGATGATTTTATTATAGTTGGTTCAAATGGTGTTCGTATCCTTTCAAATCTACTCATTTTAAATTTGGCATACAACAAATAGCTTATATTTAGTGTTCTGCAAAGGATTTTCTTCTTCTGCCAGAATAAGGAGTATACAGTTATTCGTACACAGAATTCCTAACTCCTCATTTTTGTCAATCATAGCCCAGATTTTTATTCAAAAAAAAGGGAATATGAGCAATATGAGCTTTCTTTGTAAACGTTTATTGAAAAACAGACAAGAATTCCAGAAACAGTCACCTGATTACACTTGGATGGAAGGGGTACATGATTGTCGGATGTTTATGAATAAGCTGAGGAGAATACTATGAGAATGTTTACCTTAATAAGTGAATAAAGAAAGATATTATTTGAGATCACCAGAGCTTTATGGATTAGCTCAGTGTAAAAGAAAATTGAGAATGTAGATTTCCTAAGTGAAAGGACTTTGGGTGAAGAATTTTGGGGATGAGATATTTATCTATGTGGTAATAAATGTCAGAATCAGGCCTATTTCAATAATTTAGTAATTTCTCATTTTGGCATGTTATATAGATTCAGCTGTAGCCTAATAGTTTTGAAAAATTGTATGCTCTTACCCTATATAGGGATTGGAATTCATAAACTAAATTGATGCTTATGAAACAGTACTGAAAGGCACGTTCAACAGAGGTCTTGCCAGTTCAGATGGATGTTAGTGGAGAGCACTATTTGGAGAGGAGCATGAAGTATTCTGTTGTTTGTTCTTGTCTTCAACATTGTAAGCAGATTAATTGACTATCCACCTCACTGTAGTCAGTAGAATCATCCTGTGTTCGAAACATCTAATGGGATTCATTGGTCAATAGTAATCACTGCACTTCAAAGTAGTTCATTGTATTATTATATTCACATGGGATGTGTTCATCACTGGCAAGCCTGGCATTTGTTGCCCATCCCTAATTGCCCTTGAATACATTGGCTCTCCAGGCCATTTTTGAGGACATTAAGAGTCAAGCCCATTGCTATGGGTCTGGAGTCACATGTAGGCCAAACCAGGTAAGGATGGCAGATTTCCATCCCTGAAGGACATTAGTGGGTTTTTACAACAATTGACAATGATTTTGGTGTTACTATTAGACTAGCTTTGAATGTGAATGTATTTGTCTGTATCAGATTAGCTTTCTATATGAAATGTTTGGAGAAATTTGTGAATTTAGGCATTACAGAAGTATAAGCCATTGTTATTTCTTCACAAGACCGCTCCTAATTGAAAAGGAGTGACTAAGCATTTCATAACAATCCTTCACTCTTTATCTCTAGATGTGTGCCTGGTTCTCGAGCTGCTTGGGGACCACCTTCATCGATGGATTCTCAAGTCAAAGCTGCAGGGGCTGCCCATGACATGTGTCAAAAAGATTATCCAACAGGTCAGATTGACGGTCTGCTCCAGGGAGAGAGAGACTTGCTCTAAGCCTGATTTTGGTCCAGAAATAGGCAATGTCAATTGAGTACTTGTCCCAACTGATGCCTGAAATTGGGCCTTAGGCCTTGTGATATTTTGGGGATGTACTGCCTATGTCCACCATGTCTCCATTTTGAGAAGTTGAATATCAGGCCACTTGCCTTGCCAGCAACAGGAAGGGTTGCATGGAGAACGGAGCAGATAGGGAACAGGAACGAGAAGGTGCATCGGCAATCGGGAATCTTGTGGAATCAGAGAACATTCATGCATCTCTTGATGCCACAGGAATAATTTTGGAGAAAAGGGTATCTCTTGTTGAA